TATATATATATATATATATATATATATATATATATATATATATATATATATATATATATATATATATATATATATATATATATATATATGTATGTAAACAAGGACAGAACTGTTGAACTGGGCTTATGTTTGACTGCTAAAGACTTTGTTATTTTGTTATCAAAAACGAGCGGAGATCAGTTTTTGGCAATCTTGAATGAAATTGCTTAATTAATGTGTTCATGCTCAGTTTAGGACGCAGTGCTATTAGAGAATACGTATAACATCCGAGGCTGTAACTATATTGCATGCGTCCAAATCTCTAAACCTTCTAAGAACACATCTAACATACTTAGAATGTCTGCTGACTCAAGTGCCCTTTCTGGTCAGTGCCCCCACTTTCGAGGTGCTTCCGCTGCCTCTGACGACCCTAACCGAAGTGTATGTGGTATACATTAGAGGTATGCAAATCCGATCCGATCGGATTCGTTCGGATTTCGGAACAAAAATATACATTTCGGATCGGGTTGATAAAGATGTTTCGCAGTCGGATCGGATCGGACTTCGATATTCGAAATAAAAATAATTCATTATTCACGCATTATCGCAAAAATTAATTATCCATGCTTTTATCAAAGCATTATCGCGGTTGTCGCTGCATTATTCGTTTGATACTTCAATTGGACGTCACTTTGTCAGCTTCTTGCTTTTATATTTATTTGGTTAAATATTTCAACTTGAATGAGAAATTTATTTTATTAAAGGATTCTTCGGATCGGATCGGAATTCTTTATCAAAACTCGGATCGGATTCGGATTAGACAATTTCGGATCGGATTTTAAACCTTAGCCATTGTCGGATTATGAACGTCCAATCCGATCCGATGCACACCTCTAATGTCAACGGTGGGCTGGTTACGCTGTAGAACTTCCCTGCGAGTTCAAGTCTCAAGAAGACAGTTTTACTTACAAATACTTCAAAGACGGATTATAATCATTATATATGTACATAATTAAAATTTGCTAAAATGTACCTTTAAAGGTAGCCTACGGTGTAGACCCCAGCAGAAACTGGGGTCTACAACGTAGGCTACTTTAAAGGCTGCTCTCGGTAGCTCTCCAGTCGTTTTTCATACGTGCGTATACGCACGGAAAAGTTTAAATCTTTTTAAATTTAACACTAGTATGAATCACCTGTACAAATGCGCATTAAATCATTCACAAAACTCTATGCTTTCCTTTCATTCATTCAGTTATTTCGTAAGTAACATTTAAAGATATTTCAGCTTTTCCGTGCGTATACGCACGTATGAAAAACGCGTGATAAAAGCCTACCTGAACAGCCCGGGTTTTATAGTAGTGTTATGACAGAAAAGACTTCGCTCTGAACCATAACAAACCAAACATCATTATGAAGGTAAAGGATCAAAGAATACGGAAATTTCATTGGTTTAGCCCCAGGTCCCTTTGAAACCTGACACTGGTCAATAAATATGCTGTGAGTGGCCACTGGTTGTTTAAGAAAAGATATCTTCTTTAGTATTTATTAAAATTGGCTGTTGTTTTCTGTTTCTTGTGCAGAAAGCACTAAACCCTGGGATGAGGGGAGGATATTTTGAAATTATAAAAGCAACTTATATTTTTTATGGCTCTAGCCAAGATGGAGAAATCTAGCAGTTTTTACATTATATAAAGTTTTGTACAATTATGCACCTATCAATGTTAACCCCCAGAGGGGGGGGGGAGGTCGGGCATATGTGGGGTATATGATCATCAATTGCATCCCCACCCTGGGGATTTTGATCAGCATTTGGCCCCGAGTTGGGGCAATTTGAACGGAATGACTTTTATTAATATAGTATTTATTGCAAAATGGTGGGGCATTTGACTAATATTTATTGCCCGACGGTGGGGCATTTGATTGAAAATTTGCTCAAAAAATCAAATGCTCCACCTATGCCCGACCCCCCCCCCCCTCTGGGGCTTAACATTGATAGGTGCATTAGTACAACAAAAAATTCCTCTGTTTATCTCGGAGAGTGTTATCAGATGAAGCAACCCTAAAATTTGGCACAACTAAATTTGCCATAATTTTCATTGCAAACCCGGCCATTAATTGCTGCTAACAAGGATGTGTAAAGATGCACATGACACTCTGTGTACCACCAAACTGCAGACCAACATTGACCACAGTTATTTTTCACTTTTTTGTATACAATCAATTGTTGGCACCAAATTATATGATTTCATTGATTTGATAACATAAATTTGGTTATATCTGTATTCTTGTCCTATTGCTGCAAGTGGTGCACTCGGTTAACATATTCGGCCAACTGAATAAGTTCCCAAACTCAGTACGCCATGACATTTAATAACAATACCTAAATGCAGTACAAAAACAATCTCATTATAAAACTTATAACAATATCTAAATGTAGTACAAAAACAATCTCATTATAAAACTTATAACAATATCTAAATGCAGTACAAAAACAATCTCATTATTATAAAATCGTAAAATTACAACAATAAAGCAAGAAATGTATTTGATATCTGATCATTCTGATGGCAAATTTGCAATAATTGCTATGACATTTCAACTTATTTGTATGCGGTTCGCGAGTCCGCCAGTCGGTGTCCGCATTTTATCCACACCCATTCTTCAATCGCAGGGCTGGCACCAGAGTGCCATAATAATGAAAATATTGTTAGAGCCCGCAGGTTCAATTTTTTCCAGGGACCTAAAGTTGCATTTTTCGCTAATGTTCCTAGTTAGGTTTATTAAATGTATATAAATTGCCACTTGACGATTTCCATCTGCACCATGGGGGGGGGGGAGGGGCTGGAATTGTAATTATACCTAACCACACTAAGGGGCGGACCATTTGATTTTTTTTGGGGGGGGAGATTTCGAAAAAAAATTCCTGCAATCCAAGGAGAAAGAAAAAAATCATGCAGCATACAATTGAGAAAAAAATATCATGCAAAAGAGAGCGCTCAAAAAAATTCCTACATGTAAATCTACTGACGTTCTTCACTTCAGTATTGTGTCTACAGGCTTGCAAGATTTTGAATTTTTGAGCAGGCATGCACATTTGCTTAAAAGAACACGGGGTGAACAGTGGACAACATCACAGGGATTCTACCGCCTTTGGAGTACGATAGCCAGTGGCGTTCCCTGGCAAAATTGTTGCCCCCCCCCCCCTGAGAAAATCTGGGCTTAAGATCTGTACATGTTTATAAGTTATTTATACATATCTAATATGCATGGTAGAAAAATGGATGGTTGAGTTTGTGTGCGTTTTTTGATAGGTAGCTCCAAACTATTAAAGCTTCAAAGGCCCATCTACAGGATGCAAGTTGAACGTACTGTATATACGATGATTTTAATGCGAAAATGCCAGTTTAGAGAGTCTAGATTTTAAAAAATTTCTGAAGAGGACGCCACCCGAACCCCAACAAGCTATCTGTATGAACGATTGAAAAGCAACAGAGCTATATTTGGTGGAACATTGTTGTTTCGGAGGGCAGTTAAAAGTCGCATTATTGAAATCTTGTTTTATTACATATTAATCAAAGCTCATTTTGTGATTTTCCCTTGTTTAAAATAAAGCACCGTAAGTGTTCCTTAGCCTTAGCACAGCAAAAATGTAGGACGAATCCATGGCTGAAAACGCAGGAAATAGCATTTTCGAGGTTCAAATTTTCTCAGGGGAGCATGCCCCCGAACCCCCAAAGGTTACAGGTCATTCATATACTGTACCTCCCCCATTTTCGAGTACTCTACTTCGCTTGTGTTCCAAGATCCGCCATGTAAAGTGTAGTAAATGTATCTCATCGTACAGTGGCGGAAATTCACTTTTTCCGGTGGGAGGCGAAGCCTTCTCAATTTCCGACAAAACGTTCAAATTTCCGACAACCCCACCCCCTCCCATTTGCCCTCGAAAAAGCTGTTTTTAGTCCTTTTATAGGTCCAAATTTCCGAAAATTCGTCATTTTCGACGAAGGTGGGGGGGGGGGGGCGCCGCCCCACCGAGATTTCCGCCACTGTCATCGTAATATTAAATCCTAAGAAAACTAAAGCCTCTGCGGAGGAGACCTGCACGCTTTAGTGTGGGGAACATTAAGACATAACCATATAAAATAAAGCACAGTGAAAATTCCTTGGCCCCTCTTGGGATTCAGTTCTCGGCCTCGATCCTCTGCTTTTCGAAAACGGGCAGGGGCGTAGCTAAGGGGGGTGCGGGGGGGGTGCCGCACCCCCCCAATGCCGTGTCCGTCGGCACAATAAACCAGTTGTCGGCAAAATGAATTGGATCAAGCCAATAGGCAATACCTGGTTGAGTGGCTGGAGAGAGGTTGTAATTTGTAGAAAATGCGACTTATGCGAGATCGAAAAGATGGATATGTCGACTGAAAGCTCGGCCCTTTTCCGAACATTTAGCCAAATTGGCCAAGAACTCCGACCGCCGTTCGTATCATACGCTCTTACGCTAATACGCTATTAGTATTATATTTTCTTGCAATTTTGTGAAATATGATACCATAAGCAATTCGAAGCACGTGTGCGTGTTGATTGTTGATGCGTCTGCGCTTCATTTCGTAATCTTGTGAAGCCAATAAAGCCTAGAAATTAGACCTTGAACGATGAGAAATACAAAGAAGATTTAAAAGTATGGACAGTAGCAAACAAAAACGCAAACGGAAGAGAGAGAAATTGACGTGTTTAGTTTGTAATCGGTCGTTTGATGACGATTATCGACATGAACATAACAAGAAATACCACAATGACTTGTTAAAGACAGGGAAATCAATCTCCTATAAAGTGGCCGGTGCTCCAGCAAACCCATTCATCCTAGCAGCACAGATACATAGTCAAAAGGTAAGGCTAGATAAAAAATTTTAACTCTAGCCAAAAAATACGAATAATAAATACGAATCAATTTATGCCGGCGGAAATGAAAATTTGATACATTCAACCAACACCGCGCGTTTTGTATTTGCGAATAAAATTACATACTTACTTGTTTGTTCAAAAGCTAGCAACTACCCAAATTTATAGTTGGCTAAATAAATAGTTGGCTTAGCCAACTATAAATTGCAAATGAAGTTAGTCAATATGCGGATTGTTCTATAAAAACGGCAATTTTTTTCATATTACACTTTTTAAAGGTAAAAGGGGTTAAGGGTTCTTTGCCATATTATACTTTTTACACTGACGAATTTCAGGTATCCCAGACAAAAAAGGATTCTCAAAGTGTTTCCATTTTGGAGACCTCATCTAGTTCTGGAAATGTTGAAAACAAGACTAGCGAGAACGACCCTCAACCTGACAAAGTTCAAAATTTGCCCCCTCCTGACACAGTAGAATTTGAATTTATGTCTTCCACGGTAAGTCTTCAAAATTGATCTTTTTTCAAATTTGTTATGAATGATTTTTAGAATGTTTTGAATTTTCAATCATTATATTTATAAATAGACACCAGGAAGCGAAAGCAATGAATCACACGAGGCCCAAGAAGTCGAAAGCGACACCCTTGAAAATGAGACTGAAGAAACTGAAGAAAACCAGGACGATAAAAACATGACTTGGTTTCAATGCGCAGGGCTGTTGCAATATCTAAAGTCCCAGCTTCGTAATGTTGAAGGAATTATAGATGAAGTTGAGACGGCAGATAATGCTAATCAAGAATATTTTCTAAATAAGGTAATCGAAACAGTTGGTCAGGTTGAAGAAACTGCAAGCGAGCTTCTCAGAATATCATCTCAAGTTCTTGAAAAGGTTGAAAAAGAGAACATGACACTGGACGATAGCAATCAGAAAGCATTCCCTACCATGCCATCTTTGGATCCTGGATTGCGATCAAAACATCTGACGGACAGTCAAAAAACATACCTGATACAAATCGGACCGAATCAACCAAATTTACAGGTATACCCAAGTAATTCCAGCATTGCCAAAGAAGGTCACAAGCAGTCGAGATTTAATCCATCCTGGTTCAAAGAGTACCCTCACCTTGAATATAGTTTATCGAAAGACGCTGCTTTCTGTTTTGTTTGTTCCTTGTTTGGAAGTGGTCCAGGAATGGAGAAAGCAGAAAATGTTTGGAGTACAGAAGGTGTGTGTACATGGCATAAATTCAAGAGCTGTGGAAAAGCAAAGCGTGGCAAGTTGGCAACACATTTCTCATCTGCGTGTCACAAAAGTGCAATGTTTGCATATGCAAACTTCGTGAAAACCTGTGGTCACGTCGATGTCTTGCTTTCTAAGACCAAACGCCATGCTCTCATCCAGGAGGAGGAAGATCTTGTCCGCAATAGAAAGGTCGTCGAGATATTGTTGGACATAACAAAAACACTCGGACGCCAAGGTATCGCGTTTAGAGGCCATGGAGACGACAAAGAAGGAAATTTCCATCAGATTGTGATGTTGATGGCCAGGTATTGTCCCGACCTAAAGTTCTGGTTCAGCACAACCCGGATGCGACCATACCGTGTCACCTATCTTAGCCCACAGTCCCAAAACGAGTTCATTGAACTGATTGGTCGCCAAGTACAAAAGCGGGTTACAAAAGAAATTAAAGAAGCTGGGATGTACTCAGTTATGGCTGATACAACGCCTGATGTATCGCACAAAGATCGCCTCGCGGTTGCTTGTAGGTACGTAGATGCAAATGGTCAGCCAAGGGAGCGATTGATGTCATTGACCGAAGCTAAAGACAAGACAGGAGAAGGAGGAGCTGATGAAATAATCGAGGCGCTAAATAAGCACGAAATGAATTTAAACGAACTGTGTTTTCAAAGTTACGACTACACAGCTTCCATGTCCGGACGCTTCAACGGAGTCCAGAAGAAGAT